TATAATATTCCCCCTCCTCTAAGACACTAAAATGTGGAACAGCTGCAACTGTAGTAATTTGCTAATTATCTCTGCTTCTTCCAGCTCCTAAAGCTTGAAAGATGTGGAGAGTGAAGCCCAGTGAGCAGCCAACTCAGACACCAGACTTTCTTGGAAGAGCAGGAAGTGATTAAAACAGAATTTTAGCCTCTAACAAAACGGCAGTCAGAACTACTTCTATCGATTTCTTTTATTATATGAAACATACATGTAAAAATGAAAAGACTTTGCCTCCTTTCCTCAACCTGAGTCACTGCTAAAAGTTTCCGGTCTAGCCTTCAAGATTTTCTCTGCTCTCGCAAAAGATTCTCCCCCTTTCTCTCTTTCTCTCTCTCATCTACCTGCCTGTACTATATACGCAATTCACCAGGTCAAAGAAAGGGTAGTTCCTATTTCTAATGCATTCCACTCAAGCCTCACTGTGGTCAGCTGCTGTCACAAGACCACACTAAAAGAATTTGTGTTTCATGCTCCCTTTTAGAGGGTTTGGTCACCATCAGGAGCTCCTTCTCGAGAGCTCATTTATTAGAGGTCATAACATAAAACCCTGGACAGTGGTTTCGCAAAATCTGTGGGGTGCTGTTTCCAAATCCACAAATATCGTAATTTCTTCCTGAGACTTAAATCTGAGTGTTCATGTCTATTGGCCTCCTGGGGTGCAGATCCTGTCACCTGCTGTAATTACTTCCCCTCGGTTGATCACAGGACTTGACACCTGCCATATGTTTGATACATGAATTATTTACGGAAGGGTAGGCAAACAAGCCAATCCAGAGGTATTTGGTGAAAACTTTAAAAGAAGATAAAACTAAAGATTTTATATGACAAAATATACTCAAACCTGCTTCTCAAATATCTACCTGTACGGGATGGGATTTGTTCATCCCCAACATCAAAGTTCTCCCGCCGCTTCTAAGAGAAGTGTACCAAAATCTACACTTGGAATCGCTCAATAAAGAATAATTGAGTTAAATAAAACTCCGAAAATCTCAACAATTTCCACCGCTTATTCTCGATGGCCCACACAAACAGAGGCTGCCTTTTTCTCAAAGGCGTTGATCTAAGCCTCTATAATTAGAGCTTCGGTGCTGATAACACATCAGGCTTCACAGCGCAGGATGCCCCAAAGTTGGGGCCAAGAGCACAGATGCTCACACCTGACATCTCAGAGAGCGAAATTGCCTTTTTCAGTACCTAAGGCATGTTGAAACCCTGTAATTTTGTCTCTCTGGCAACTCGCAATTTTTCATTTGCTTTTATTTACTCAGGAACCCCAGGAGAAGATGACTCGGTGCTGAGCCCGTGGCCCCTCGGCCGTACCCAGGCTTTCTCAAGCACACCCCAGCTCCACCTTCCCTTTACCCGAGGCTCGCAGCCCATGCCTAACGGCATGAAGATGCAACACAGCTGCACTGACCGGAGAGTTAAGGAAGTGTTGCCCTCTACCTTCTCACTTGAATCCTCTCATTTCATTTTCCTTCTGACCCCACCATTTCTGAGTCTTTATACTCTGTGACCTGGGCCTCAAATAATTCACTTCTCATTAGCCTGATGTCCTCGGGGCCCATTCATTCATCTGTTCATTCGTGGACGACGTACTATTTCCTGCACATCACACGCCAAGGATATAAAAGTAGCTAAGACAGCCACAGTTTTTGAAAATGCAGTCTGGCAGAGAGAAAGGGCACATCATCCATTAATTATGACCCCTCATGACAAGATCTGTAGCAGAAGCAAGGATCATGCGCTAGGAGGTCTTGGATAAAAGAGTAATTACGTCTGATCAGGAGGGTCGGAGAAGGTGTCAGAACTGTTCTCCCAAGGCAGGAGTGGCCTCATTATGGTCCTCTGCCAGGATCTCCTGTTCACCCCTCTCCCAGGTCTGCCGTAATCAGTGGTTTATTTTTCCTCCCTCCCTGGGAAAACTAAACTCATAGGGGCACAGAACGTGTTCTGAATCTCGGCACCCCTAAGAGCAATCATAGCATCAGATACTAATTAATTAAGTAGTTCATGCACTAACTTTCCTACTCCACAAATCTACTAAGGATCTACCAAGTGCTGGGCACTCCCCCAGGCTGATGAGAATATGGCCAGTTCTTGCTCTCATGGAGTGGACGGTCTAAGAAGCAGGACAGAATCACATGGGTCTCTGATCTGTTTGCCCTATCCTACAGGGCAAGCCAGCGAAGGCTGCTCCATTAGATGTCTTCTGAGCAGAGACTCAAAGCGAACGAGGGCATGAGCTGTGTGGATACCTGCAGAGCAATGTTCCAAGTGTAAAAGACAGAAGGGAGGGGGTGCCCCTGGTGGGAATGTGGCAGACACAGTAAGGAGCCGTGAGAACGAGAGGGGAGGAACCGGGCGGGGGCCATGGTGGGGGCAGATCATGGCATGGCTCTACGTAGGACTTTGGTTTTTTGTTTGTTTGTTTGTTTGTTTTTTGAGTGGGAAGGAAAGTTTCCGGTGTATTCTGATGGAGGAGAGACGTTGACTTGACTTGTGTGTGGCAACAGCCTGCAGGTAGCTGAGGATAGGGCAGGGAGATGAGAGAGGCTGTTGCTTATCCTGTGAAAGGGATGATGCTTTAGGAGAGCGTGGCCGTGGTCCAGGTGAAGGGACACAGCGGCATCTGGCTGTAGGTCAGAGGCCCAGAAAGCAAGCACTGATTTGCTGACTGACAGGATGCACTTCTTTGTGCTCATTACAGGCAAATGCATTTTATATATTGTCATGGGTGTGTCTCTCTCCCTCTCAAACACACACATGCTCAGTAATAATACATTTTTGGCAATATTAACAATGAATTCACATGATTTGTTTACAGAAAAGGCCTGTCTTCCAGTAGCTGAGTTAGAATGACAGTGTGTTCTCTGAAAACCGAAATGAGCACCTTGCAGGTATCACTGGGGAACAGGTGTGACAAGAACCTTGTGTCAGCAGAGGCCAGAGTGGAAGCTCTGTACTATCTGTTACTAAGTGAACTTGGCCAAATTGTTTCATACTTCTGTTTCTCAGTTTCTAACTAGGAAAGTCACAGAGGCATACTCCCAAGCACACAGAGCTATGGTGAATAAAAAATTAATTTATATGAAAATGCATCATAAATAATACACTATAACGTGCATATTGATCAATATCTAACACAGCAAAGACACTTTATGGCCTAAAAGTTATTTTCACAACTATCTGATCATCACAATGCATGCTGTGATGTGTATGCATCACAATAAATTCTCTGAGCACAATAGCCCAGATAATATCCCCATTTCACAGATGGGAAAAATGAGCCTCAGTGAGCTTAAGCATCTCCTCAAACTTCATGAAAGGAGTAAGTGTACATGAAGTTACATATGAGAGGAAAAGACCAAAAGTCGCTGGCATGGGATCGAATTCTCCCCTGATCATCTTCTGACGGGGGACACAGAAGCAGGTGTAGACACTCCCAAGAAAAGAAAGCAGGGCCTGGCCTGGTCTCCTTCTGAACATGCTGATCACCGGGCCTCCTGGTAGAGAGATAACCATATTGACCAAGAGCAGCACGACCTTAGTCTACCTAGCGTTGCTTATCATCATCGGACCTGGGATCTAGGAACTAACAAGGCTTGGCTCCTTAGAAGTTTCATGTAAGCCATGTAATGATCTGAGTCTCAAATGGAGAGGTTTCAGAACCAAAACACTCCAGGGAAGGAAAAAGTCATCTAGAAATCTCTTTCTGTCTCAATCAGTGCTGGAGAGAAACAGTTTACATTTCTTCTACAGACTGTCTCCTACCAATATTCTGAGTTGTTTTTCTATTCTGCTGAGTGCATAACAAGATTGTCTCTACCCCCAGATATCGTGAGCCTTTGGTAGGCACAGGTTTCTCTTGTATGCAGTGGTTCTCAGCCTAGGCTGCAAATCAGAATCAGCTGGGGGAGCTCCCAATCGCTACATCCCAGAAAAATTAAGTCAGAATCTCCACGGACCGGGCTTAGGTTGTGAGGCAGGTGTCGGCATCTTACCGCTCCCAGGGGATTCCAACGTGCAATCCAGGCTGAGAACCGGTGGCGTGTTCCGGAGCTCTGGGCTGTTTGATGCATGACCTTTTTTAACAGAGTTCGATGTACCGCAAAGAAATACAGCTCATCTCTGACCTTGGTAGATGACCCTAAGTTAGGTTTTTAATGTCATGTTAATTTTTATATTTTTCAAAATTAAGGCTTAATCATTAAATTAGTCCTAAAGACCACTAAATTGAATCCTTCTATTGACTTTTTAAGTGAACCCGTAAAAATTTTTGGCACATGAACCTAATATAATATTTTTTTGTTTGTGCCCTTATTTATTTGTTGATTCACTTAGCCATTCACTGCTTTGTCTCCAAAAGAATGGTGGTGAGCTTTAGTCACATTTATATGCGCCTGGTCACAAGCAGAGCACAGAGAAAGTTCACTGTAGCCAAAGACAACGTGTAGAAGCAAAAGAATGATTGCCTAATAGTCTATAGTGGATACAATATCATTTGCTTCATTTTCAAAAGCATCTTTTTTAGGGCAGAAGTTCTAACTCCATTTGTTAAAGATTACTTATAAACAACAGCGTAGTCATTAGGAAATACTGCAGCTCGTTATCCAAGCCTGATCATTTTAAAGTGTCATGTTTTGATGATCATCTGTCAGATGTACATTTGGGGGATGCCTGGGTGGCTCAGTTGGTTAAGCATCTGCCTTCGGCTCAGGTCGTGATCCCAGGGTCCTGGGATCGAGCCCCGCATCGGGCTCCCCGCTCAGCGGGGAGCCTGCTTCTCCCTCTCCCACTCCCCCCTGCTCATGCACTCTCTCTCTCTCTCTCTCTCAAATAAATAAATAAACTCTTTTAAAAAAGATGTACATTTGGCTATTGAACTTTGAGCCCACGACTGATGCTCCTCCCTGTGTCGCCCCCCCCCCCCCACCGTGCCCCAGTCAGAGGGTGCTCACCAGATGCAGCAGGGACCCTCCTGAGGAAACGGCGGTGTGCGGATCCGCGCCCTCCTTCAGGAGCCGGAGCGCTGAAAAATCAAAAGAGTAGGCAGTTACAGCACGTGCTTCACCCACACCGTGAACCAAAACCTGAGCGGTTCCTTAATACCTAAAATGCAAATAGCCATAAAAGCCAAAGCAGACTCGTTAGCCACCCTCTGCCCTCACTTGGTGTGTGAAAGACTGGTGGCGTCTGTCTGCACATCAAACTTACTCCTCCGTCTGTCAGTGTCATTTCCTATTACAGCTGAGCAAATCACTCAGAAAGGGGGACACGCTCTTACAGTGAATTGCTTCAACGTGTCGAGTTTGTATATCCTTTGTAGGGCAAAATAATAAAAAGAAATTACTTCACGAGGCTCATGGAGGCCCTGGATCACTTAACTTTTATTTTTTGATTTCATTGGGGCCCACTGGCTTAAAACAAAGTTTGTGCTCTGGACATTAAACTTCTCTTGCCGCGATGACCTCTTGGCAGGGTGTCCACCGTTTCCAAGAATGCACTAGGACACAAAGCCATTTCTACCTAAGTTAATAATGCCAAATAGGTCAAAATAGATGCCAATTATCAGAATAAATGCACAGGTGGAAGGGGACCTGTGTTTGCACCTGAACGGCAAAGGTGAATTCATTAGTGCAAGAAATGCCACAGGCATGAGGAGACTGATTGTTCTATTTTCCGCTTCTTACAATGGACTCTAGGACCAGCCTCACAGAAAGGCTTATCAATTCCCCAAAGCACGTTTCCACAGTTAATAGCAGTATCACAGTCTTAATAAAAAGTCATTAATGCATTTTCCACAAGAACTATAATTAAAGCAACAGTGACTCTTTTTTTCCCCCCATTATACCACAGACCGGTATTAAATGGCTCGGATTGAAACGCATACCTCACTGAGCATACTGTCTTTCCATGAAGTTTCTCTGCAGTCTGGAGTGTTACCTGACGTACCTTCTATTCTATGGTACCCCAAATCATTTATGTGTTCCAATATCTAGTGTGTCACCATCTTCCCCAAAGCTAACCGCACGTCACGAGGGGCGCCATGGGGCCTGGCAGACATGGCAACCCCCACTGTCCCCTCTCCAGGAAGGCCGTCTCGTGGATGACGTGCGCAGTGGGGGTGAAGAAGGAGATTGAACAGCCCCTCCAAAATGGGGGTGACGTGGAGACAGCAGAGACAACCCGTACCCAGCCCAGTGTGCCCTCCAGACAGCCCTTCCTTAAGTTGGAGGGCCTTTCGTCCAAATCTCTCTCCCCAGGGAAGTCAGACACGCCCCTATGCCCTCTCAACAGCGGCAACACTTGGCTCCTTGGATCTGCGCCCCTTCACTTCAGCTCCCTGAAAGCTGTCCTCAGTAGGAGTCTGTCCACATCTGTTCACCTTCCAAGTGGCTTCCCCTTGAGTATGCTCTTTCTCCAATTAAGAATTGAATTCTTTTTTTTTTAAAGATTTTATTTATTTATTTGAGAGAGAGAGAGAGAGAGAATGATAGACAGAGAGCACGAGAGGGAAGAGGGTCAGAGGGAGAAGCAGACTCCCCGCCGAGCAGGGAGCCCGATGCGGGACTCGATCCCGGGACTCCAGGATCATGACCTGAGCCGAAGGCAGTCGCTTAACCAACTGAGCCACCCAGGCGCCCTAAGAATTGAATTCTTTTCATAACACAGATTCTCCTAACGTTGGTAGTTTGTGACAAAAAAATTTCTCCAAGACAGCATTCTTACAGGACCAAGTGTAACCTGACATGGCGTGGGGCGACCATTTGCTTACTTGGGCATCTCCGCCCTTAGCCATCAGGAGAACACCCAGGAAGGTAAGTCCTTTGCCTTTCTTGTCCTCGCGGTATTTCTAGGCGCTGTCCTGCTGTGTGGTTTGCAGGTGCCCTTTCTCCCTCCCGTTCCCTGCTCTCTCTATGCACACGTATAATAAACGGATGCACTTCCTGCTCCCTCGCATACTTCTTGCCCTTAATTTTGAACAGTCCATTGCCAACAACAGTTAATTGAATACATTTACCGATGGTTTCCTCAGAAGATAAATAACTCTTTTACCCAAATATTTACTTTTTTAGCAAACGAAATTATTCATCTTGAATTAACTAATATCAACACAGTGCTTTAAAGTTTTCATAGCAAAGCACTTAAACTACAAATACAGTATGAGGCAGATTTTATTAGAAAAACATTCATAAAATGCTGTCAGATTTTTTTTTAAGATTTCTTTATTTGAGAGAGAGAGAGAGAGAGAGAGAAAGCAGGGGGGAGGGGTAGAGGGAGAGGTACAAGGAGTCCCAAGCAGAGCCCGCACTGAGCAAGGAGCCTGACGCGCGGCTCGATCTCACAAACCTGAGAACAGGACCTGAGCTGAGACTAAAGAGCCCGACACCCAACCGACTGAGCCACCCAGGCTCCCCTGCTGTCAGATTTTTGAGTAGACCCCACCGTGCACACGCGTAGTGAATTATACATAAGAGAAGTCGGTGAGACACCAGCCTTGGGCATCCACAGATTTGGCTATGAGGCCCCACTGGGAGGCCTACTGAATTCTCTGTGTGCCTCAGTTCCCTCTCAGTTGAACTCACGCCATGGGGGCACTGACAGAAGGGAATGAGCCAACAGAGCAGCATGTTAATCATGCCTCCTGGCCCTGGGCACAGATCTCCAAATGATTCCTACGAGTATAATTACTCTACGTCGCAAAACCCCATAGTAACATATCCTAGAATCCATAAAAGGTTTGGGGCGCCTGGGTGGCCCCGTCGGTTAAGCGTCTGCCTTTGGCTCGGGTCATGATACCGGGGTCCTGGGATCGAGCCCCGTGTCGGGCTCCCTGTTCGGCGGGAAGCCTGCTTCTCCCTCTGCCTGCCACTCTACCTACTTGTTCTCTCTCTCTCTCTCTCTCTCTGTCAAATAAATAAAATCTTAAAAAAAAAAACATAACTTAAGGTTTATTCTAAATTTTCTCAAAACCTTCCGATTTTTAAATGTTGAATGTAAGTGTAGGATATAAACCACGCAGATTTAGCAGCAGTCACTTGGAGGACGAGTGTGTAATTTATCAAGCACGAAAGGGATGAGGAGCACTATGCGGAAGGCAGTGAAGAACGGTGAACATGCGGGGGGTGGGGCACAGCATGTGGCTCGGAGGACTGGCTCAGGGAGGACATGGCACATCAGGCTACAGGACTCGGACACCAGTTTGTGGGCAACAAAGGCCCGCCAGTCAGCCCTGAGTACTATATATTTAGTTATTTGTAAATATTTGCTGTCAAGGGTACGGTGCCAACTAAGCAGGCTGGGACAGAGTGGGTGCCACATGGCAAAGGGAGGGGTCTGTGGAGCACTGACACCATGTCCAGGGAAACCAGTTTGTAAGGTGCAGAAGACAGATGGGTACTCACAGGAGCAGGGAGAACTACCGTGGTGTGGTGGTGAATGTTCCAGGATGGACAGGGATGGAGATGTAGATGTCTAGACGGATGGATGGACGGACAGACGATGGACAGACGGATGGAGAGAGGGATGGATAGACAGATATGCATTTATGAGTTTACTACACATTTTATTGATACAAAGGCTGTGTAGCCCACAATTTACAAATAATTAGATATATAGTACTCACGATTGTAAATGCCATCTGGCCAAATGATTCTCACAAAATACTTTTGATGATTTTTGTTGCGCTCTTATATCCACAGCCAGTCTGTGGTTACAATTAGTGCACATGACCTTGACATCTGGTGGGTATTTTCACTGACATTAATGAGTAGAGCCAGGGGTGAGCACACTATGGCCGGGAGGCCAAATCACGCTCTGGAATTTATACAGCCTTTGAACTAAAAATGGTGTTTACATCTTTAAAGGGTGTGTAAGAAAAAAAAAACAAAACAAAACAATGAAAAACAACCAAAAAAAATCCAACAAGAGTGGCCAACATGGACTTTAGGTAGCCTGCAAAGTTTAACACAGCTACTATCTGGCCCTTTACAGAAAGTTTGCTGGCTTCTGAGTAAGATTAAAATGAAACAATGAAGTGTGTCAGACCTTGCTCATTTATCAATGACCTGACCTGACGGACATCTTTTGGAAGTAAGAAAATGGTTTTTGGACAATGTATCACATTGCATCAAATTCTTGGTCCTGACATAACACATTTGTAAGTATAGCCCTGCATGAACACGGCCTTCAAAACTTCTTAATTCGAGACAAGCAATAAGACAATAAGTCAAGCCAGCTTCCGTGGTGCGATTCTCCTATCTCAAGCTGCCAATGTGATGTCACTGAACCCAGGGCTGGGAAAAGATGTGACATAGCACACGATTATACAGCATTCCCACCACAAGACATGCAGGTGACTTCAAGGGCAGAAATGAGAGAAAAATGCAGTGAACTAATTAGGAAGTGATGAGTCTTGAGTGTTACTCTTTTAAAAAATATTTTGTTTATTTATTTGAGAGAGAGAGAGCGAGCACAAGCGGAGGGGTAGGGACAGAGGAAGATGCAGACTCCCTGCTGAGCAAGGAGCCCCATGTGGGGCTCCATCCCAGGACCCCGAGATCATGACCTGAGCCGAAGGCAGATGCTTCACCCACTGAGCCAGCCAGGTGCCCCTTGTGTATTACTCTTTATTACAATCTACTTAATTGTAAGTTTATATACTTCAATTTTTACTATAGGCGTTGTTTAACTGTTTCACAGCCAACTGACAGATTCCTTAAATTTTAACAACTGGTTCTCAGGGTCTGGAAGGGCAAGCTCAGCGAACCATGGGGAGCAGCCTGAGGTCCTTAGGGAACGTGTCCAAGAACATCCAGGAATGACGAGGACACTACACCCAAGAATTCCAGAACTTCTTGCCACAGTGACAGAGAAATAAGTCCTACCCCTCTTGATTGGGCCACACCTCAGCCTAAGGAGAACAGAGGAGGGGACAATTTGAGCATAATTTTTTCCCCTAGATAGAAGGGCTGTTTTCCAAAGGGGCTGTTTACATTATCAGACAGCACTAAGTTCGAACCACGGAGG